GAAGTAATGATAAATATGGATCAAATTGGGAATAGAATGATATCTATAATTGTTTAATTTCTACAATCATGGCAGGCTGTTTGGGTGATTAAAAACATTTAATGGCCCAGCAACATGGACATGAAAAGTTGCTTATCTTTTAGACATAGACATCAGGAAAAAGGACCCCAAAAACATGAGTGAGAATGAAAAAAATAGATGATAGATAGATAGATAGATAGATAGCTGTATTAATCAGTGACCTGAGAGGAAACAGATAACATGTTTTAATATTTTAACCGGGTAATTGGAGAAGAGTTTAGCATAAGGTTAATGAAAACTATATGAAATTGTAACCCTGGGGTTAGTTATAATTGCAACCAACTAATACCTATAACCCAAAAGAGGAGAGAATGGCTATCAAATTCAGAAAGAGCTTTGTAAGCAGAATCAATGATTTGAACTCTGACATTGAGTTTAGAAATTCACTTAGCTCATTAGAGCACCACCAAAATAGAAAGGAGAATATATAACCGGAGAACACGTTTCTTCTCCTTTTGATGCCCTGTTAGTGAATTGCAGTACTGAAACCCAACCATTTCAGGTTAAGCCGCACACACAAAAGCAGCAAATGCAGAGGACAGAAAGAAAACATAAAGGTTTTGAAGGGGAAAAAATCGGAAGAATAAAAGGTTATAAGAGATAAGCACAAGATGCCTCTTTAGGTTCCCCCACCCCCTCACAGGATGTTATAGGACCATTCATTTTTTTTATTATTAAATACTTCTGTTGTGGCCTCTTATCTCTCTTATCACAATCCATACATGCACTCATTGTCAAGCACATCTGTATATATGTTTCCATCATCGTTTTCAAAGCATTTTCTTTCTACTTGAGCCCTCATTTGTCTCTTCCATCCCCACGCTCCCTCCTTGATGAACCCTTGATAAGTTATCATTATATTTTCATATCTTACTTCATCCTCTGTCACCCTTCACCCACTTTTCTGTTGTTCATCCCTCTGGGAGGGGGTTATATGTCAATCCTGTGATCAATTCCCCCTTTCTTCCCCCACCTTCCTATACCTTCCTGGTATCTCTGTTGTCATTGTTGGTCCTGAGGGGTTTATCTATACTGGATTCCCTGTGATCAATTCCTCCTTTCTTCCCCCACCTTCCTATACCTTCCTGGTATCTCTGTTGTCATTGTTGGTCCTGAGGGGTTTATCTATACTGGATTCCCTGTGTTCTTTTCTGTAGCAATGTATATGCTCTGGTCTACCTCGATTTGTAAGGTAGGATTGAGGTCATGATCATGGGGAGAGAGGAAGCATTAAAGAACTAGAGGAAAGTTGTATGTTTCATCAGTGCTATACTGCACCCTGACTAGATGGTCATTTTCTTGTGACCTGTT